AGGATCCCGCGGGGAGCCTAGAGCGCAAGTTCTGTCTTTAAACTTTGTACCTAAGGCTTGCGAGCCTCCCGCCTGCAGTAGCGGGTAGGATGTCACCCAGCAAGTGGCTTCCAGTACTGCAACCATAGCTGGAGGTAGATGCTAAGGACTCGTTGCCATTACTTAGATGACACAAAAAGGAACTTTTATTCTTCAAATAGTCTCGTTTGTGGGGCAGTTTCTATACTGTCAGCATTGTGGAGAGACCTTAATGGTGCACTACTAGCAAGATTTTCTTTTAAAAATGAAAAGTTCCAGGCTGGCGATGTAGCTCAGTTGGTTAAAGCGGTGGAAAATCTTCAATCTCAGCATCTGGGAGGTGGACGCAGAATCTTAAATTCAGGGTCATACTGCGCTGCGGTAGACCCTGCCTTAAAAAAAAAGAAAGTTCAAGTAATTTCAGGTGAGAAAGTTGAGATTTGAGATCCAGGGGAAATCAGCAAAAGGGCTTGGGTTTTTCAGACGCACTAGCCGTTGCCAATTCAAACATCCTGAAGCAAGGCTAAGGGAAAGGTCCACGTTCTCAAATGCTGCTCTAAAACCTGGTTTCCGGCACCAGGTAGCCTTGAGAGCGGAAGGCAGGAGTACCGTGAGTTGGAGGCCCGCCTGGTCTACAGAGCCAGGTCCTGGCCAGCTAGACTATGTAATGAAACCCTGCCCTGGCCCCAGTTGGATACAAGACACGGTTTCATAAATGCCTAGCCTTGTGAGTAATATGTTTCATTGGCAACCAAATCTTACCCTTACCGTCTTAACGTGCTTCAATGCCAGGGAAGTAGTTACATCTGAAAAAAAATAGTAATGATAAACATTTTTTGAGTTGGTCATTTTGTTGATTCTTGTCAAGACCAACCAGGATTTCAGTGCTAGCACTTAAACTAATGCACTTGACTCTTTGGTATCCGAGTATGCAGACCAGCTCAGTGGATGCCGGTGAAATGACATAATGGTTTGAAACCTAAGTTGTTACTGCATTTTCCTTCTTCCTTCCAGTACCTGAAATCAATATTAATAAAGTACTCTTTGAAATTGAACTATAAGTGTTTAAGGAAGCTGGTATGTGAATCCTATGGATATTGCCCATAATGCTGATGAGCATACCTTGAGACCTTGGATCTGCAGAAAAGCAGGCTAAATCAACATCTAATTTGCAAAGCTTACATATTGCATAAGTTTGCTTGTAGGAAATTCTAAAAGAAGGCAGTGACACATAGGACAAACAGGTAATAAGAGGATCCATGATCGGAAGCCTGCATTTTGGCTCCGCGGCTATCAGCACACCCTTGTTTGTGTTGTACTGTTGTTCTAAAAGACACTGCTGTTGAGGGAATGGAGCTTAAGGTACAACAGCGATAATAATAAATACTCTGTGTTAATTTCTTTTTAAGATTGTGTGTGTGTGTGTGTGTCACATGCATGCAGATACCCATGGAGACCAGAAAAGGACATTGGGTCTGAAGTTACAGGTGGTTGTAAGTCACCAGATGTAGGTGCTGGCAACCCAGCTCTCTCCAGTCACATAAACGTCATGTGACACCATGATTATTGCTAATTTAGAAAACTTGAGAAATGGGTGGGGCACAGTGGCACATACCTTTAACCCCAGCACTCGAGAGGCATAGTCAGGTAGATAGATCTCTGGGAGTTTTAGGCCAACCTTGTCTTCATATTGGAGTTCCAGACCATCCAGAGTTACATGGTGAAACCCTGTTTCGGAAACAACAACAAACGTAAGTAATTACAGCTGTAGACTTGACAGGGCACTTCTCATAGGTGTGCTTATTTTCATTGTTTAAATCAGGACTTAGTTAAAAATGTGAATGGTCTTCAGAATCAATGTAGATGAATAAATCTTTAAAAAAAAAACCTTAGCTGGGTAGTGGTGGCACACGCCTTTAATCCCAGCACTCAGGAGGCAGAGGCAGGTGGTTCTCTGTGAGTTCGAGGCCAGCCTGGTCTATAAGAGCTAGTTCCAGGACAGGCTCCAAAGCTACAAAGAAACCCTGTCTTGAAACACCAAACACACACACACACACAACTTTGCTAAGCAAATCTAAGCAACTTAAAATAGTAAGTCATTCACGTGTGAAGAAAGGTTTGCAAATAGAATATCCCATTATTTGCGAGGGTACAGTGAATCAGCACTCTCTTGAGCCTCCGACGGAAACTCATGATGGAAAATGATTTGCAAATATTCATCAATAATCACAAAACTAAATGATTAACATGTGAAGGATGGTGAGTTTGCTGGCATTTCTCATTTTGTAGTCATCAGAATTATCTTTAAAAGCTAATGATAGAGGAAATACATTTTGAATAATGTATGAAAATGCTAGTTGTTTGCTTGTTTGTTTTTGAGACAGGGTCTTGCCATGTAGCTTAGATCTCTCTAACTGGAGATCTTCCTACTATTGAACTAATAGTGAGGTTACAGGTGTACACCACCATGCAGGGGGTGGGAGCTTTATGGATAAATGTGTGCAATGTAGTTTTGAAGTTTTTCATGCAGCCAAGTATTGATCTGTTGGTTAAGAACTGACAGGCAGAAAACCTGGAAATATAAGGGATATTTATGAGTCAGATAATGGGAAGAAAACCTAGTGCTGGTGGCATAGACTTGGGTTCCTACTAAGGTACAATCTTGTTTCCCTTAAGTTTGGGCAAAAGGTGAAGTTAGTAAGAACCATAGCCAAGAATATTCCAAGATATACGTGTGAAATTTATCACAGCTAGAGAGCACATTTATGTGACAACTGACCAAGTGGAATATTCAGTTTCTCAATAAGAGACACATACACAAATCCACCCCAGTGATAGACTTTTAACGTCAGCTTTCTAGAGAGACCTGCCCTTGCCTTCCAGGTGTAGGGGCCTCTCCCTTGCCTGCTTCAAAATTCTCTTTTCTAGGATTTTATTATGAAGATTTTTCCCTCATAGATACTCTGGAGTCAGGATATGTTTTGTATCTTCCGCCTGTCTTCTGATCATGTGATTCCGAATTTGATTTTCTTTTCTTTTTTTTTTTTAGTAAATTTTATTAAATTATAAAAGTTTCCATTTCCACCCCCCCTCCCAACACCCTCCCACTCCCCCTACTCCCCCTCCTCCTCCCTCTTCGTCCCCCAGGGCAGTCAGGGTTTCCTGCCCTGTGGGAAGTTCCAGTTCCTTCCCCCTCCCTCCAGGTCCAGGAAGGTGAGTGTCCAAACAGACTGGATCCCCAAAATCCAGTATATGTAGAGGAAACAGGTCCCAGTGTCATAGTCAATGGCTTTTCAGAAAGACTTCGGGCCAGCCACAGTCATAGAATCCGGCCAAATTCCGAGAATCTGGTTAGATCACGTCCTCGTTCAGTCCCAGTCCAACTGGCCTTGGTAAACTCTCATCAGATCCGTTCCCTTGTATCAGTGGGTGATAGCATCCCTCGCAGTACTGATTTCGTTTTTCATGTTCTTCCTCCTTCTGCTCCTCATTTGGACCTCGGGGGGCTCAGTCCGGTGCTCCAATGTGGGTCTCCGACTGTATCGCCGTCCTTCGCCAGATGAAGGATCTCCTGGTGGATAGCTAAATAATCTTCATCAGGTTCATCTTCTTATTTAGCTTCTGTAGGATCACGAATAATAGGCTCAAAGACCTTTAATTATGGTTAGAATCCACTTATGAGTGAATACATACCGTGTTCCTTTTTTTGGGTCTGGCTTACCTCACTCAGTAAAGCGTTTTCTATTTCCATCCATTTGCATGCAAAATTCAAGATGTCATTGTTTTTTACCGCTGAGTAAAACTCTAATGTGTATATGTTCCACACCTTTTTTAACCATTCTTCTATTGAGGGGCACCTAGGCTGTTTCCAGGTTCTGGCTATTACAAATAGTGCTGCTATGAACATAGTAGAACAAATGCTTTTGTAGTATGTTAGGGAATCTTTAGGGTATATTCCCAAGAGTGGAATTGCTGGGTCCTGAGGGAGGTTGACTCCCAGTTTCCTGAGAAACCGCCACACTGATTTCCACAGTGGCTGCACGAGTTTGCATTCCCACCAACAATGGATGAGTGTTCCTCTCACCCCACATCCTCTCCAGCATAGGCTATCGTTGGTGTTTTTGACTTTAGCTATTCTGACAGGTGTAAGATGGTATCTCAAAGTGGTTTTGATTTGCATTTCCCTGATCGCTAAGGAGGTTGAGCATGACCTTAAGTGTCTTCTGGCCATTCGAAGTTCATCTGTTGTGAATTCTCTGTTAAGTTCAGTACCCCATTTTTTAATTGGGTTAATTAGAGTTTTAGTGCCTAGTTTCTTGAGTTCTTTGTATATTTTGGAGATCAGACCTTTGTCTGATGAGGGGTTGGTGAAGATCTTCTCCCAGTCAGAAGGCAGCCTTTTTGTCCTACTGACAGTGTCCTTTGCTTTACAGAAGCTTCCCAGTTTCAGTAGATCTCATTTATTCATTGTTTCTCTTATTGTCTGTGCTGCTGGGGTCCTACTTAGGAAGAGGCCTCCTGTGCCTAAATCTTGTAGACTACTTCCCACTTTCTCTTCTATCAGGTTCAAAGTGGACGGATTAATGTTGATGTCTTTAATCCATTTGGACTTGATTTTTGTGCATGGTGATAGATATGGACCTACTTTCATTTTTTTACAGGTTGACATCCAGTTATGCCAGCACCATTTGTTAAAGATGCTTTCCTTCTTCCATTGTATACCTTTAGCTCCCTTGTCGAAAATTAGGTGTTCATAAGTTTGTGGGTTAATATCTGGGTCTTCTATTCGATTCCATAGGTCGACTTCTCTGTTCTTATGCCAATACCAAGCTGTTTTCAATACTGTAGCTCTATAATAGAGTTTGAAGTCAGGGATGGTAATGCCTCCAGAAGTTCTTTTATTGTATAAGATTGTTTTGGCTATCCTGGGTTTTTTGTTTTGCCATATAAACTTGATTATTGTTCTCTCAAGGTCTGTGAAGAAGTTTGATGGGATTTTGATGGGGATTGCATTGAATCTATAGATTGCTTTTGGTAGAATTGCCATTTTTACTATGTTGATTCTCCCAATCCAAGAGCAGGGGAGGTCTTTCCATTTTCTGGTATCCTCCTCAATTTCTTTCTTCAAAGACTTAAAGTTTTTGTCAAATAGGTCTTTCACTTCCTTGGTTAGAGTAACCCCAAGATATTTTATGCTATTTGTGGCTATCATGAAAGGTGATGCTTCTCTGATTTCCCTCTCTGCTTCTTTATCCTTTGTGTATAGGAGGGCCACTGATTTTTTGGAGTTGATCTTGTATCCTGCCACGTTACTAAAGGTGTTTATCAGCTGTAGGAGTTCTTTGGTAGAGTTTTTGGGGTCACTTATGTAAACTATCATATCGTCAGCAAATAACGAAAGTTTAACTTCATCCTTTCCAATTCGAATCCCCTTGATCTCCTTATGTTGTCTTATTGCTATTGCTAGAACTTCAAGCACTATATTGAAGAGGTATGGAGAGAGTGGACAGCCTTGTCGCGTTCCTGATTTTAGTGGAAAGGCTTTGAGTTTCTCTCCATTCAGTTTGATGTTAGCTGTCGGCTTGCTGTATATTGCTTTTATTATATTTAGGTATGATCCTTGTATCCCCAGTCTCTCCAACACCTTTATCATAAATGGGTGTTGAATTTTGTCAAATGCTTTTTCAGCATCTAGTGAGATGATCATATGGTTTTTTTCTTTCAGTTTATTTATATGATGGATTACATTGATAGATTTGCGTATGTTGAACCAGCCCTGCATCTCTGGAATGAAGCCGACTTGATCATAATGGATAATTTTTCTAATGTGCTCTTGGATTCGGTTTGCCAGTATTTTATTGAGAATTTTTGCGTCGATGTTCATGAGTGAGATTGGCCTGTAATTCTCTTTCTTGGTTGTGTCTTTGTGTGGTTTTGGTATTAGGGTAACTGTAGCTTCATAAAAGGAGTTAGGCAATGACTCTTCTGTTTCTATATTGTGGAATACGTTAAGGAGTATAGGTATTAGCTCTTCCTGGAAGTTCTGGTAGAATTCTGCATTGAAACCATCTGGTCCTGGGCTTTTTTTGGTAGGGAGATTTTTGATAACAGCTTCTAATTCTTCGCGACTAACAGGTCTATTTAGATTGTTGACCTGGTCTTGGTTAAACTTTGGTATATGGTACTTATCTAAAAAAATGTCCATTTCTTTTACATTTTCCAACTTTGTGGCATATAAACTTTCATAGTAAGATCTAATGATCCTCTGAATTTCCTCTGTGTCTGTGGTTATGTCCCCCTTTTCATTTCTGATCTTATTAATTTGCATGTTCTCTCTCTGCCGTTTGATTAACTTGGCTAGGGGTTTCTCAATCTTGTTGATTTTCTCCAAGAACCAGCTTTTTGATTCATTGATTCTTTGGATTATTTTCTCTGTTTCTATTGTTGATTTCAGCCCTCAGTTTGATTATTTCCAGTCTTCTAGACCTCCTGGGTGAATCAGCTTCTTTTTTTTCTAGATCTTTCAAGTGTGCTGTTAAGTCTCCAATGTGTGCTTTCTCCGCTTTCTTTAATTGGGCACTTAATGCTATGAACTTTCCTCTTAGCACTGCTTTCATAGTGTCCCATAGGTTTGAGTATGTTGTGTCTTTGTTTTCATTAAATTCAAGGAAGACTTTAATTTCTTTCTTTATTTCTTCCTTGACCCAGGGGTGATTTAGTAGTTGACT